TGAAGGCCTATTTTAGGTTTATCAGATGCAAACAGCGGTGGCTGTAATAATAACGAGCATGTTTATCACACAATAATTGCATTAGCACTGTGGAACATGCAGCCAGTTACAGAGAAGATGCGTATGAATGCACGCTTGTGTGCTTCAGTTTTGTCCTTACAGGAAAAAAAGACAAAAAAAACAACAACAAATTAACTTTTTTTTAATGTGGCTCCGTTTTTTTTAAATCTAATTATTTCCTTTTTGGTGATCCAAACTGATCATGAACAGTGTGAAGGAGAAGACAAAGGATTTTCTCACACTCCCTCTCTGTCCTCCCACTGTGCCTATAACTGTCTCCAGGAACGTGTTAATCTCTGTTATTACATGGTTATCATACATACTACACTTTCAATAGTCAACAATGGCACTCCTAGATTTACAGATTTGTTGTTGTTTTATTCGGCTACTCTAACAAAGAAATTTTCTAATTTTGGCATAAACCGCGTGTCTGCATCCATCCTCCATGTTCTTACCAGGAGGTTTTGTGGTTGGAGTCTCAGCTGGAAAACAGCTGAACAACTCCGCTGGCAACAGGTGATGATCAAACGTAATTCTGCTCGTCACTCTTCCCCTCTAAAGGTCTTTATTAGGATTATTCACATGCAGCATGGCACATCGGCTAATGGAAAAGGCTAATACAGTCTATTGGCTGCAGTTTTGTCTTCTCCTTGCCAAATTACAGCAACAGTCTCACTGAATGACCCTGAATCAGCACTTTCATTAAGAACAACTTACCCCCAACTCTTCTAAAAGACGTTGCCAGTGTTATAATTTAACTAACTTCACTAACCCTTCAAAACCAACCGAGATATTTCATCTTGATTTATGTCCAAAGTTACACTGGTTTCATCTGTTTGTGGAGGGTTTCTTGTTTGTTTGCTTAGATTTTTGGAAAACCTTACTTCACCTCACTACTTTACAGCTAAGTCTACTGTACAGTATCTATATTGTATTTATATTATTAAGCTAAGCTGCTGTCCATTTTTTGGCTGCTATAACACTTAATTTCACAATTTTAGGGATAAATGCAGATATTTTCTAATCTACATGGAACAGCCACAGCGATTATTTGTATTGGACCATTTTAATAATGCCCAGTGCTTGTTTAAGAATTAAAGAAGCATTGAACTAGACTTGACTGAACAAGCAGGGTCATGTTTTACCTGTGGGTATCTCTATCAGGGTCGTTTTCGAGGTCCAGCTGCTGAGTAGCAGAGAGTGGGAGGCTTTTTTTGCTCCAGCTCCTGCAGGACTCTGACGATGACAGCACTAAAAGATCGCTGTATTTTCCTGATGCTCTGAAGGGTGGCACCACAATGTAACCTGCAACACAATGTCAGAGTATGTCAGGTCAGTTTCACACCTTAACAGAGCATACCTGCCGTATAAAAGTGTCATACCCAAAGATGCCTTGTCCTGCACTGCCAGGTGTAGCGTCCCAACCAGGAAGTTGATGAGCTCAGGCAGGAAGCGCTTTGAAAAAGAGACATACTCCACTCCCAGAGAGCACAGAACTAAACCTGATGTTAGGTCCTGTAATGATCTCACTGGGCACTGAAAAATTACAAGACATAGACACAAGCACACAAGATTCAGGATTACTGTACACAGAGAGACAGATCTGGAAAGAAAATGCGTTTGTCAAAGTCAAACACATATTTGTTTCAAATAACTTACAGAATGTTCACATAACAAGGAGCATGGACTTTGTCCCTCATCATTTCATGATCTTTGGAAAAGTTTACTAATGCTATGCTAAATTAATTTTTTTTT